CGGCCCCGCCGCGCTGCCCCCGGCGCTGCTGACCGCGCTGGGGCCCGCGGCGGACGGCGCTCGGCGCCTGCACAAGTCCCCGTCGCTTTCGTCGTCCTCGTCGTCCTCGTCGTCCAACGCCGAGTCGGGCACCGAGAGCCCCGGCTGCTCGTCGTCGTCCTCCAGCAGCGCCTCTCTCGGCCGCGCGAACGCCGGCCGCACCTTCTTCAGCTTCGCCGACGGCGCGGCCCACGCGCACCCGGGCCCACGCGGCCCCACGCCCGCCGGCTCGCCGCCGCAGCAGCACCAGTTTCACCCGGGCCGCCGGAAACGCGAGAACAAGGCCAGCACGTACGGCCTCAACTACCTGCTGTCGGGCAGCCGCGCGGCCACGCTGAGCGGAGGGGGCGGCCCCGGGGCCCAGGCGGCGCGGCCCGGCACGCCGTGGAAGAGTCGCTCGTACAGCCCGGGCATCCAGGGGTGAGTGCGCCTGGCCTGTGGGGCTGTCGCGGGCACTTTAAAACCTCCGTTAGACGGAGAGCCACGGGGCCGGGGATTGACAGGTCGGGATGGAGACCTAGGGCTAGACTACTAGCGGTTCCATCCTTCCTACCCTGCAGGGCAGGGAAGCCAGGGCTGGTGTCAGTGGGGAAGGTTATACGCGTGCTCTGTCCTGTGAATTGACTCGTGTGTTTTAGGGTAGTCAGGTTGAAGGTAATTATTTTCTTCCTTTTGGGTGACAGTAGGTTTGGGGTAGTGATACCGTTTAGCCATCAGGTGAGATTCAGAAGTTGGGTGTTGCATGTGTTGAGGTTACCTAGTTTTGATTCTGGGCAGACATTCGCAGAAAGAGCATCATCTGAGGTTTCTAAAAGCTGTCTAACAGCACTCAGAATTTTCCTGTATAGTCACAGGAAGGTGTCATTTTCGTTAAAAATTTTTCCACCCAGCCCAGAAGACCTTAGAGGTTTAATGTCCCTCCCCAGTGACAGCAGGGTGGGGGTGTTGGCCTGGAATTGCTCCAGGTGAGACAGCTCTGGGTGAAGCTGTTCATTCAACCCATTGGGTTTTCTGAGCATCCAGAAACAGACACTCATTTCTAGTTTCGAGACCGGTGAGCTCGGTTTGCCTCAGTTCCTGCAGATCTAAAAGGCATTGAAGCGCCCCTGGGGGTCGGGTTGGGGGACCGTCTTAGGCAGGTAAATCCCCAGTTTAGGTCTCCCTGCATGGTGGCTAGGCTGGGAGACTTCTTTGAGGTAACTTCTTAGGGGGTTGTTTGCCATTTGAGGTAAGTGAGAGACGCTGATTCTCTTTAAGGGGAGTGTGTGTTATGTAGTAACAGTTGGCCATCCTGCAACTTGTTTCACCTGGGTCTGTTTGGGAGCTCTAGCATGCACTACAGACCCAGGACGAGCCTGCTTTCTTTCTTCTGCTGTTTCTCCACAGTGCTTGCTTGTAGAACTTTCTGAGGCAGGTTTCGAGGAACAGATTGTGTGTGTGTGGCAGTGGACCTGAGGGAGGTTTCTAGACTGTTACATAACTGTAATGGACATGGTGTGTCTGCTGTGAGACAGGGCCTGACCTCTGACAGAGTTCCACTTGTGTGCTTAGCATCAGCAGAATCATCTGCCCCTCAGTGATAGCTGTGGCTCTTGAAGTGGCTCTTGAAGTGGCTTGTTAGCTCCCCAGTGGTTTGTAAGCTGGGCAGCCTTTGTGTGTTCTTCAGTGGCTTTTGTTAGTAGGTGTGCCCCTGTGGGCCAGATGTGTTTTTAGAGTCTGGGGCAGAGTTGGGGTGGATGCCATGTAGTCTTGTTGACCTCCCAAACCTCATCCTGCCTTTGAGTACCCCTTCCTGCTACATGAGCATTGCTTCCTAGGTGTTCATACCTGGCTCCTGTCACCCTTTCTCCCAAGTCATTCTATCCCCCTGGGCCTGGGTGTCTCTTCATACTTCAAGCACTTGGTAATCATCTCTGGTGGAGGCTACCTAAGCATTCCAAGACTGGAGTCTTCTGTGCACTGTGGCCTAGCCCATGTTGTTCGTTGGTCAGCAGTGTCAGTGGGGTGAAGCTCTACCAGCTCCCAACTCTCAGAAGATCCTCCACCACTTTTCCTACCTCCAGGAGAGAGGCAGGCACTTAGGCTCCGTTTCTCGGCTTGCCCTGAAGCCTGCTTCAGCTCCCCATTTGCTCACCTCAGGGCACTATGGTGTAGGTCTTAAGAGGGCTCTGAAACCAGCTGAGAGGTTGGCCTTCATCCTCTCTGGACCAAGAGATGCTGCTGCATGTCTTTCCTTCTCTGGGTGGCATGTGTCATGATTTTGTTGGGTGGTGAATCCTGGAGGAGGGGCTTGCCTGGGAGGGCTGGGTATCTGTCTGGTTCCTCCTGTGGCTGACCTTTCAGCATGGGTGGGGAAGAATTCTTGAACCAGGGCAGTAGTGGAGCTGGGCCCATGTGTTAGGAATGAAGGTGGCTGCAGTGATCACTTGCACGTGTCTGCTTGGTCATGTGAACTGACCTTGGATGTCAAGAAAGAGACCTGTGTGAAGCTGGTCTCAATCAGCTTGTCTAGAGTGGTGTGCGGGGCCAGCACCAAGCCTTCCTCCGGCTTAGCAAGAGACAGAAGTAAGGTTAAGTGTGGCCCAGTTAACAGTGAGGGGCCTGGTTAGAGAGGCTGCTGAGTGTTCTAGTCTTGGGGCCGTGCCTTTCGGAGGCCCTCTGCAGACCTCAGGAGAGGACGAGTGGATTTCTGGTCGGTGAGAGTCTGAGGCTCTGCCTGATGGACACGTGGCACCTGCGCCATCCAGCCTTCCCCGGGAGGAGCCTGCCCTTGGAAACTGCGTGTTGGCCTGGGTTCATGGGACTGCTAGACTGTTTTCCACCACGGGTAGGATGAAGAAAAAAGGAGGTGAAAGAGGACAGGGCTTAATTCGTGAGTCTGGAGCGTAGAGAAGGGGTGTGGGAGCTGCTCTGAGCACCGGTTTAAGGTGAACTCTGAAACCTTTGTTAAGGATATGGCAATTAAAATGTCACCCATGCCCTCTGTACGAGCTTCTTGCTGGAGATGGAGCAGGCATGGTGAGGCTCTCTGGGTCTTCCCTTTCCCGTTTTAACCCACTTTGCCCTCTGAGTCCTCAACTCTGACCCACAGTATGATTCCTTTGCCCTGGTCAGTCTCAGGGGCTGCCTCAGGTTAAAGGTAAAGAAATGTTCTCTGAAAGTGAGGGTGGGAGTGTGGACCTCACACATACGTTTAGCCAAATCCTTACTGGTGTCTTCCAGCAGGAGTGCAGTTGGACATGGGAAGGCCCAGCCATTGCATTCAGCCCCATGACCTGATTGGCTCTGTGAAGGTTGTTCCTTCCAGGTGTGCCTGCAGTGGGCAGCAGTCATGTGCAGCTTCTCTGCAGCTCTCTCCACCATGGTTAGTCTTTTCATGTGTTCTGTGCCCTTGGTGATGGGAATCCCATTGTTTGTCTGAAGCCTGAGAAGCCTCCAGTGTCAGCAGTTACAGTGTGCCAGTGGTTGGTAGTGCTTGCAGGGCTGTGGGGTGGGTCCCTCCTAGCTCCATGCATGCTCTTTCTGCTCTGCTCTGGTGAGGGAGTCAGAGCCTGACAGAGCCACCAGCTTCCCTCTCTTCTTCACTGCTCCTGCTTGCTTTGACAGAAGCAGTGGGTCGGAATATCCTGAGAGGTTCCACTGGGAAGGCACAGGTTGAGGGCCCAGTGGGGTGGACTGTGGGACACAGGTGTAGTCACCATTGTCACCTTTATCTTCCTACCTGTCTTCCTGTGATCATCAGGGATGTGTGAACAGTTGTAAGCATGGTTTGTGCAGGTGACAGTGGCACAAGGAGTCCTGCTTTATGGATTTCTTTCACAGAAATCCTCATGGTTGAAGAGAGAGGTGAGAATGGTCACACCACACGTTTCTTGCCAAACTGACTGCTTTACCTCCTGTGCAACACTTGTGCGACTTAATAGCATCACTCTCTTGTCATGGTCCCATGGCCAGTCTCCACAGAGAAGGGGAAAAACTAGTGTGGATGCTGCTGCGGGTGACTGAGGGGATTCCTGGAGCACTGCTGAGCCACGGCTTGCTCAGGTTGGAAAGCTGACTCTGGAGAAGGCTGCCCAGGAGGATAAGGCCAATCTTCTTTTGGACTAGAATATTAAGCAGGCTGGCACAGTCCTTTAGAACAAACACGAGAGGCCCTATGGTTGGGAAGGCTCTCTGTTTAGTTCCTAACATGAAGGAGAAAAGAAATAGGGGGAACCAAAAGACAGAAATAAAAACGGAGCTCCTGAGTAGTTTTTTGGGGAAAAAAGCATCTTAGTGCTGTGGGAGTTAGAGTGGGTCCGGTATCTTGCTGCTGTGATCTTTAGATGAAAAAGCAATGCTGTTTTCCCTCAGAAACAACACACTTGTGGCTTAAAGTATTTTTAAGTAAACTTTTTTGTAGATTTCTTTCATATTGTTACTATATATCTATTTTTTTTTTGTTTTTTGTGTATGTGCCTGTGTGAGTTTATGTGCATCACATATGTCCACAGTTGCTGGATTCCCCTGGAACTGTAGTTACAGGCAGTGGTGGGTAATCAGATGTAGGTGTTGGGAACAACTTGGATTCTCTGCAAGAGTACTAAGTGCTCTTAACTGCTGGGCAGTCCACCCAGCTCCTTAAGTAAACATTTAAAAGAAAAAAAAATGATAACCTTAAGACTTTTGCTTCAAAGTCTTGGCTGTTTTTTAGCATGAATGTGAGGTTTGGGCATCATCTTGAAAGACTTCATATGAAGTGTCCTTTGGGAGCAGGGTACCAGTGCATCATGGGCAGTAAGGATACTGTGCCTAGTTGAGGTGCTGGGTTTGTGCTCAGAGTGTATGTAAGAAAGTAGTCCAGGATATTCAAGTTCAGAGCCTATTGTGATGCTGCAGCCAGAGCTCAGGCTGCAGGAGTGACTGCCCTTCCCAGCGACTACCTCTAGGCCTTGCACTGGCCGGTGGTGCTGTGATGAAGCCAGGCTGGAGACTGCCTAGCCTCTCAGCATTGCTTCTCCCTTAAGCAAAGTGGAACGGGCGCTAACCCCAGAAGGCTGCCCAGGGAAGTGCGGCCTGCAGCGAAGGCAAGCCAGTCATGCTCTGTGTACAGTGTGTCTCTGCTTGGGACACCTGTGTTGTCTGTCCCATTTGGATCAGCAGCACCGTGCTCTTGATTTTTCTTGTTATCTCTCTTTTCTGTGTGTCAGGTAGCAAAGTGCTGTGACCTGGGATTTGGAATAGTTCTTTCCTTGGGTCACATTAGGAGGCTTGGGTGAGTTCTCCACTCCACAAGGCAGAGGTCTAAGATATCACACTGTCTCCAGGGTCCACTCACAAGCACATTTCTGCAATTATGGCACTGGGGGAGACTTTCCTTGTCTGTCAGGTCACTGGATTTTGGGCTTTTGGTCCCATCCAGCTTTAAGCCTTTACTCTCT